ACTCTGGTCCACTGGAAGAATACAAAGTGCTCTTAACCGCTGAGCCATCTCTCTAGCCTTTTGTTAGGTATTTTCTCACAGCAACCATGGAAAGTAATTAGCATACTACATTAAATAGCAACATGATTCTCAGTAGCCAAAATGTGGAAATAAGCCAAATGTTCATCAAAAGATGAATAGACAACATTTTAATAAATTATTATTTAGTCTTAGAAAGAATGAAACATGCTTCGAGATGGATAAATTTTGAGGTTAAGTAAATCCTAAGGCTAAGTGCAGAAAGCCAGTCAGTCACAAAAATACAAATCTAGTATGATTCCATTTGTATTACAGAAAGCAGAAGGAGGGCTGCCAGGGGCTGGGGACAGGGAAGAGCAGTGGATTAGTGTTTAATGTGTATGACATGAATTGAGCTCGCCAATGCTTATAATCTTACTTCAATAAAGTATCTTTGAATGTCTTGTTTTACTAAATCATGTCTCTACTGGACAAATGGATGCACTACCTCCTGGATTTCTTTTTCCAGTAGTTCCACTCTTTCTCGAAGGTATCTTCTCTCTGTGTCAATGGAAAGAAGCTCTAGTCGAACTGAGCTGCTTTCTCCCTCAGCTTGGTGGGCTTTGACCTCCCAGTCTTCAGCGCGGTTATGAAGCATCTGAAATCGATCTAATAAATTCTGGTTTTCTTTCTCCTGGTTTAAGAACAATTAAATGATTTCAAAGTCAGTTTACCCTCACCAGAACATCTATGTCATAAACACATACACACAATGGGAATTTTGTTTGAATTTAGGAAGCATCAGATATCTATGCAGGTACTATACTGAGATCTACAGGGAAATATAAAATTAAAAGGTAAGATCCCTACTCACAAATATTTAATATCTAATACTGGAGACAGAATCGAAAACACCATGAAGTTTTTTTTAAGTCAGTCTTAAAGCTAAGCACTGTTTTTTACCTTAGCAGCCATTAAGCTCTCCCATCGCGACACCTCAGTTATGTAATTATGAACTCGACTCTTCATTTCTTCTTTCTCCTGCACTGCTGCTTCTAATTCCAACGAGATTTCCTGTAAATCAGCAATTGAAGACAAGACTAAAGTGAAGTTCTAGTCATATGCAGATAGCTCTTTTGGAATTGGAGAGAGAATAAGAAAAAGGGAAAACGTCTAATGTGTAATTTTTACATATTTTTCCTGACTGATCTTGACATGTGTATGTGTGTGTGTTATGTCCACGTGTGTGCAGGTGTGCATGACAATATGCAAACATGTAGAAACTAAAGGAGAACATCAGGTGTTGTTCTCTATCTCTCCACCTTATTCCCTTGAGACAGGGTCTTTAGCTGAAATTGAAGCTTCCTATTTCAGCTAGGATGGCTGACCAGCACGCTCCTGGGATCCCCTTGACCCCCCGACCCCCCAACAGTGAGGCACATGCAGTTGTGCCCAGTGTTTATGTGGCTGCTGGGGGGTTGAACTTAGGTCTTCTTGCTTACACAGCAAGTGTTCTTATACACTGAGCCTCTTCCCTGTCTTGATCTTGGCTTTTTAATAACCGTTTCCACACAACTCCCACAACAGTTCTGGCTATGTATCTGACTTTACACTAAGGGCCAGTTATGATCAGAAGTTAATATTTAAAAAAAAAAATTGGGGGCTGGGGAGATGGCTCAGTGGTTAAGAACACTGGCTGTTCTTGCAAAGGACCAGGGTTTGGTTCCCAGCACCCACATAGTGGCTAACAACCATCCTTAACTCCAGTTCCAGGTTATCCAGCAGCCTCTGTTGGCCTCCACAGGCACTGCACACATGTGGTGCACATGCATGCAGGCAAAACACTCATACGCAAAAAATTAAAATAAAACCTTTTTAAATTCACCTATCTATAATATGGGGTTGGGTTTTTTTTTTTTTCTTTGGTCTTTTTGAGACAGGGTCTTCCTGTAGCTGCCTGAAACTCACTATTTAGACCAGGCTGGCCTCAAACTCACAGAGATCTCCCTGCCTCTGCCTCCCAAGGGCTTGGATTAAAGGCGTGTACCACCACGCTCAGCTCATTACAATATGTTTTATTGCCTGCATGTAGGTAAGTGCCCCCATGGAGGCCAGAAGAGACTGTCAGATATCCTGGGACTGGAGTTATGGACAGCTGTTAGCTGCCATGTGGGTGCTGGGAATTGAACCTGGGTCTGGGTCTTCTGCAAGAACAACCAGTGTTATTAACCACTGAGCCATCTCTCCAGCCCCTCAAAAGTAGTTTTTTAAGCATAAAAATCATTGGTCTTCAGAGTATAATCCTGTAATAAACCAGTACAAACAGAAACTACTACCTTTCAAAATCTGCCATTTAAAATATTCATTAATTAGTTTACAGATATATCTCTAACCCAGTGGAAATAAGCACAAATTATTAAAATCTCCCATGAGTCTTAAAACATAGGCATGTTGCTCCAAGAGTGATGCTGACATCCTCACTCAACAGTGTGACAATAACTTCTGCCACAAAGAAGTCAATGCTCCCTAGCAACCGAAACCAAAATGCTATCAGGTATGGTGGTACCTACCCAGTATCCTAGCATTTGAGAGGTTGAGGGGTAGGATCAAGGCCAGCACTGGCTACATAGTGCGTTCAAGGCCAGCCTGGGCTATATGTAACCCTGTCATCCCCCATGCCCTCCCAAAAGCTACGAAAAAAGCACAACCTCCAAATGGTGAAGAGACTGCAGCTGCACCCATTAGACAGCTAGTGAGAGCTGCATTCTAGGTATTCTCTTTAGAACTCTGACACACACTATTCTCCTTAGGGACTTATGATGCTTAGATTTACACCAATACATTTTAGAAGGAAATATTTATAACTTTAATACTTAGCAAACAGCAAATATGTACTATGATAACTTTATGCACTTTTTCATACCTGGTTTTCCCTTGCCACTGTAGCCAGATCATCTTGTAACCTTCTGTTCTCCTTAAAAGAGATCTCTCTAGATTTTCCAACTTCCTCAAGTTCTTTGTGAGCTGCATCCAGTTGGCGCTGGAGGCTGCTTATCTCTCGATCTCGATTAGTCAATGTTTCCTTTAGCTGGCTGTTAAAGAAGTGATGTGGTAACAATAAAGAAAGCTTTATGAAAAACTAGCCCACTTAAAAGAAAACTAGAGTAGTCAGAATTAAATGCATGAATATAAGGAATTATAACTGCTACCTTAGACACTGATTAAATGTATCAGATATTAGCTTTATATCAGTCATTATATAAAAATAAAGCCTTAAAAATATATTATTCAGGGGCTGGAGATATGGCTCAGAGGTTAAGAGGACTGGCTGCTCTTGCAGAGGACCCAGGTTTGATTCCCCAGCACCTATATGGCAGCTAACAACTGTCTGTAACTCCAATTCCAGGGAATCTGATGCCCTCTTCTGACCTCTGTGGGTAATGCATGACATGGGTGCACTTACATACATGCAGGCAATACACTCATACGTGTAAAATAAAAATAATAAACAAATGTTAAAAATGTGTATATCATTCCAAAAGTCAAGTAAACAGAAAAATTTCAAGTGTTAAGAACAAAATGTAATAGATTCAACTGGTAAATCTTTACTGTTTATAGTTTCACTACTATATAAAAATGCAAAAGCATATAAAATAATTAGTGACTTTTGTCTTTAGGTGGCTTAAATCTTTCTGTACGTGACCAGACACAAAATATAAAAGAAATATAAAAGTTTTAAGAGAATATTTTACTTTTTATTTCATGTGTATGAGTGTTTTCTCTGAATGTATGTAAGTGCACCTGTGTTGCACAATGCCTGTCAAAACTAGAAGAGGGCATTTGGTCCCCTGGAACTGGAGTTAAGAATGGTTGTTAGCTGCCACGTGGGTGCTGGGAAGTGAACCTAGGTCTTCTGAAAGAGCAGCCAGTGCCCTTAACCACTGAGTCATCTCTCTAGTCCCCAAATACTGTAAGTTTTAATGAGTAGGACCCTGAACAGGGTAACTACAGTAAAAATAAAGAATAAGCAAAAATACAAAAGCATAGCTACTAAGACATAAGTGTTCAGATGTAGATGACAGAGGAAGTTAAAACGTTAACCAGGGTAACATTTATTAAGCGGGAGAATGAGAAAACAATGCTGCCACTGGAAAAATTAGGAAATTGACAGTAGAAATTTCTCCTATTGCTGGAATTCTACTAAGCAGATAAAGCCTTAATCACTGAAAATTTCTCAAAAAGCCATTTCATTAATTACTTACTTTAAAGATAATTCATACTCTGAGACCGTGACCTTCATCTGAGCAATAGCTTTTTCCTACAGAAATATAAAAGATTCTAAGCCATTCATACTGAACCAGTTAGTTGAATTTGTATGCTCTACCACATTTGGATAGTTAAGTAGATAAATATACAGTTCAAGTATATAAATTATACATAAAAGAAAATCCCAAGTAAGCATATTTCTATGACCATTTTGTATGTCACATATTGGCATGTTTCTACCCACCCTAAGAACTGAAATCACGTCTTTAATGTTTGCTTTCATGAGTGCTGATAAAATCACATTCTAAAGATTCAAATTACATATCAGAAGATAGAGCCTTATATCTCAGGAATGTATTCATAGTTTATAAGAACTGAATATTTAAAGCAGAGAATAAAATAGTCCTTTCTAATCAGATGCTAGAAAACACTGTTTAACAAATACATACTTTATTAGCTAGGCTTTCTTGCAAGTTTGCAATCTTTTCTGTCTTCTCATCTACCGTCTCCTGGAGAAAGTCCTTCTCTTTGTCAATGACAGCAATGGTCTTTTTCATTGCATGAGCGGCTTCATTCTGTGACATCATATTAAGTTTTAGTTTATCTGAAAGGAGAGAAAAGTTTGTCAGACAGAGTTAAGTTAGGGTTAGCAAAAGCAACATTTAAAAGCACTCACCTATGCTTTCCTCCAATATTTTAATTTGTTCTTGGGCTGACTCAAGTTCATCTCTTTTTACTGAAAGCTGGTGCTGACAGTCATCCAGTGACCGCTGGAGCTGGTCATTTACTGTCCTAGAGAATCAGCGGACAAAAACAAACGCATTCTTTATCTCTCATACAATTTTTTTTTTAAATGAGAGGTCTTAAAAATATTTTGATTTCCTATTTAAGTTTCTTTTATTTCTTATTATAAATCTCTTCCAGTATAATCAATGGCATTATATTATATAATATTATTGTTGCTGTCCACCATTCTTCTCCAAAATGTTTCCATCTTTCTAAAAATAATATAGTATAAAAATCAAATTAATTACATACTCTCTTCCAGAGGGTTCTTGGTAGTTTTAAAGTTCTCCTCAATTTCCTAGTATCAACCCCCCTTCCTTCAAAATCTATTTCCAAAAAAGGAAGCAAATACAAAGTCTTGTTCTTACAGTGTGGCCCAGTACTTCAGAACCCATAAATCCCGGCCATTCTGACCATATGAACTTGAGAATTTGCTTCTTATTTTGATATTTTGTGGGTGGGCAGGCAATTGGCGGTCACAGTAAGTAGAAGAGGCAGGCATCTCTCAAAGAGCAATGGATTTAGGACTAAAGGCTGCTTTCACAGAACTAGGGAAAGGATGCATGAAATGCTTACACAGTTAATGATAATGACAAACTGAGAGGAGTCTGTTACTGGTCAGTAAGATTACTTCTCAGATTTAATGTCCCTGGAAGCTATAACAGCAAGATTTGCTCTCACAGACCTAGGCTTCAGAAGGCTTTTAGCTTTGACCTTCATGATAGAATATATCATAAGGACACCACAACGGTTCCTTGATTCATAGTAAATGTTTCAAGTTCTAACATGGAGCTCCATTTAAAAGAAGTAGGTTTGGAAATTTAGTGGCCTATTAGAAGAAAAAGACACTGAGTCTTACTATAGACTTCTAAGAGTTCATGGTTACAGTCCACCACTGTCTGCGAACGAATACTAATGAACTTGGTACATCAGAAAAGGAAGAGGGATGGGAACAGATTCTCTTTTCGGCTCCTGTAAGAATGAAGATTTGTAGCGGGCAGCCCCAGTCTCCCTGGTCCTTTCAACTGCAGCTCAACAAACTCAGCCATCATCATCCAGGGCCCTTGTTCTTACTGCTAAGAAAAAAATGCTAGGAATGCTCAAAAGACAGTTTTTAGGCTTAAAATCATAGGAATCTAAGGGTCTTCTCTCCCTTATCAAAAATGATTTCTAATTCCCTAACAAATATTTCTCAAGGGAAACTAGTTGCAATTGGTTTTCTGAATACGTGTAAATAAATCCCAGTGAAATAATGAATACCTATTGGTATAATCAGAGCTCTAACTAGTTTGTGGGTCATTTCCAGGAAAATCAGCTCACGCATTTTTTTTCATTGTAGATAAGTATGTAACCCTCTTGGCTTTACCTCATGTGTTGAAGCCTAAGGCAGCGGAGTGCTGTAGTAGATGCCTATAGTTCTAGGATTCTAGAGGCAAAGGGGGAGGATCACTTTAGTACCAGAGGCCAAGCCTGGGCAACAGTAAGAATCCATAAAAAAAAGAAAAGCCAAAGTGAACAGAAAACAGTATGAAAATATTCAGATGTGTCATTGTTTAGAGTCTCAGAGCTAGAGGTTAGAAAGACTAAGGATGCATGCCATGGCATTGACTAAGAAAAATTAGCTGTCTAACTGGGCTGTAAACAATTTATCCTTGAGCAAGGGTTGACAAACCATGGTATAGTGCTTATTTTTTTAAGCTTTAAGTAATTTTCACATGTTTAAATAATTCAAAAAAATTTTCACAGAAAAATATTTTGATATGAAAATTAAATGGAATCCAAATTTCAGTGTCCATAAATAAAACTATATTGAAAGGAGGCACAGCCTTTCACTTACACACTGCCTAAAGCTACTTCTGAGTTTCAAAGGCAGGTTTTAAAGGTGTGACAGAACCTGTATGGTCCATATAGTCTAAAATACTGACAACTGAAAGCACTTGACAATCCTGGCTCCAGAGACTAGCTGGCATGTCAAGGAGTCACAGATATCATTCCTACACTGACAGACATTTCCTTATAATATTATGGAGTTTTGCTTGGGATATAAAATTTTAGACTTCATTAAATGCTGCCATTCAAGAGAGACAACAGTCATTAAAATTTTCAAAACTCAGATTTTTATCCCTTGTCCTCTGATATTGTATACCAAGAGACTAGACCATAGATATTTGTACAGTTAGAGGCTGTGCCTGATTCAGAAAAAGACACAGAAAACCCATTTGGAAGCAATGAAAAAAAAAAAAAGGCCTAACACAGGAAGGTAAAGAAGATGAGCTCCTGAGGATCTCAGAAAGGAAGATAATACCTCATCCACCTGAGAATCAGTTTCTTGGATTGAACTTGATGTGATTAATGGAGTAACAAGAAATCTATTAACTACACTGAAAATAGCACAAGTTTGGATCATGCACTTTTGCTTCTATAAAGGCTGGGCATTGTGATTTGTATTAGGTTTAGCTCTGAACTTATACCTGACAGCTTGAACTCAATTTTTAACCAATGTTTATTCATAGAATGTGATTAACACACACTATCCTCCAAGATAAGTCGTGTATGTGTGTGTGTGTGTGCACGCGCACACATGTATTCACACGTTTGGTGTAAAGCAAAGTTATAAGATTATGCAATATCCCAGGTTATGCAAGGCAGAGAGCACAATTCTCATAATCCCTCCTATTGCACAGTAGCTGAATGAGATGTAAGCGAGGGAAGAAGCAGAATGAACTCATAAGAGACAATGATATTGGTATCGAGAAAAACATCAAAGAATCTAAAAACAGACTAGGACATCCAAAAGAGGACAGTAAGAGCTCTCTTTCCAAAGTCTTCTATGAGGAAAAGAAAGTACAGGTATAGCCATGATTTGATGGAAAAGCAAAATGTATTAAATGCCAGCTTCAGTCAGACAGATCCAAAAGTACAAAGGGTAGATTAGTAATTCTTCAAACAAAAATACAACATTGTATCTGACTATATTTTAGAGCTGAAGACATGAACCAAAAGAGGGGCTGGCCCACTCAGCTCTCCTCCATTAGAGTACATGCAGACAGGAAGAGGAAGGGAGGGGAAGAAGAGATTCCCTTAGATTTTCTTAAAGCCTATTTTATAAAAACTGCAGTAAGGCAACCACGAGTAAAACTAAATAATGATGCCCCAAATGAGTCAGATAACCCTGTTCTTCGTCTTATATTCTTCTGCCATCTGATAACCAGAAAACCCTTGTGAACCTTTCCTTTAAGCCTTTCTTTTCCTAATTACTCCTGTGATTCTCACTTTGCTCTGTAGAGTGTCTTACACTGTTTGTGATCCCTGATTTCTGTGTATGGGATATGTGTCTTTTTTTTCCCCTCATCATTTCTTTTTGTCATTCTGAGTTGTAGGTGAATTTCTCAAACTAGCTTTCCACTTTACCCACTCACCTTTTACAGCAGCCAATCTACTGCTCAAAAATCCTTCAGTTTTAACTTGTCAATCTTTTTTTTTATTAATTATTTTTATTTTATGTGTCTGCGTAATACATATTGCCTGCATGTAGGTAAGTGCACCCGTGTTGTGCAATGCCCACGGAGGTCAGAAGAGGCTGTCAGATCCCCTGGGACTGGAGTTATAGACAGTTTTTAGCTGTCATGTGGGTGCTGGGATTTGAGCCTTAGTCTTCTGTAAGAACAACCAGTGTTCTTAACTGCTGGGCCATCTCTCCAGCCCCTTGTCAATCTTTTTAAAAAAATTATTTCTAAATTTTTAAAAAAGATTTAAAAAATTTTTTGAAACAGGGTCTTCCTATAGCCCCAGCTGGCCTAGAACTTTCTATGTAGACCAGGCTGGCCTCCATCTCACAGAGATCCGCCTGCCTCTGCCTACTGAGTGCTGGGATTAAAGGCGTGTGCCACTACACTCGGCTTTTTTCCTAACTCTTATAGTAACTATAATTTAGAAAGACTTCCTCCGACTCCTCAGGAATGCCTTTCTGCTGATATTCATTTATCTTTTTTCACTTATGACAATTATACAATTCAGATAAAAAAACATCACTTTTATTTGCTTGAGTTTTATGTGTTTGAAACTGATGAGTATCTAACAATCCAATATCCTAATATATGCATTATGAATTACTGTTATCTTTATTTTATCCCCATCTAAGTCATCATTTGGCTTTATGGGGAAATACTTTTGAATGTATCGTCTGTCCTCAAGGTTCACTGCTATGATCTCAGTCCTAACCCTTGCTCTCCACTGCTTATGGTTCACTGCTAAGACTTCAAGCCCTGCTCCCTATTTCTGCCAGAGTTAGCTTCCTAGAGGTCATCTACACACATGGCCCCACCTCTTGCTTAAAAGTCTGTTTCTAAATCACAAAGTATTGAAAATACAAAACATTCAGAATCTGCATCCCTTTAAAAGAGGTGAGAAAAAGAAGGGAAACGGCATAGTAGAAAAGATTCTACGGTTTTCAGTCCTGCTCTATGGAGTACAAACCATCCAAGGCATCTACAAAGTCGGACTTTTAAAGGAAGGTCAAAAACTTGCCTAGGATCAGGTTAAACAGAAAATTTCAAGAATACAGATACCCAAAATTGATTCCAGATATTTTCAGCAAATTAAAACACCTAAAAATTAGGCCCTGTGTTCACACTTATCAAAAGCTGCCAGGTAATTGTACCACGAGGTCAATGTGGGAAACTCCTACTCAAAGCTTCTGTCCAAATGCCACAGCTATGAACCTTGTCTACCAGAGGCCCGTCCCCAGAAGTGAAATAATGAAAGTTTCAGTAAACTTACCTAATAGAGTTCATTTCTGTTTTCTGATGAGATGAGTCACCAGCCATGTGGCTAAGTTTTTGAGCTTGGAGTTTTGATTTGTTTTCTAATGACTCTATTGTTTCTTTCATTATTAGTATTTTAGACTGCAATTCATATTTTTCACTTTCAAGCTATAATTTAAATTTTAAAAATTAATAGGCATATATGTTAATGTGCTAATTTTATATTTCATAGGCACTCTAATATTTCTAGAAGACAACCATGGAATAAATTAGATTTTAAAAACTTTGTGCCAGGCATGGTGGTGCACGCCTTTAGTCCCAGCACTTGGGAGGCAGAGGCAGGCAGATCTTTGTGAGTTCAAGGCCAGCCTGGTCTACATAGTGAGTTGAAGTCAGCTGAGACTACAGGGAGACCCTGACTCAAAAAGACAAAACCAAAAAAAAACCTTTGACTGTACTCTTAAGTTCTAGATGTCAGAATGAGCGTGTCCATTAGCCTCTCTTCACTAAGCCTAAAAAAAAGAAAATATGCAAGCAAAAAATAAAAAGAATAAATCTGTAATAGTAATGAAACAGAAAGGAAAACTATAAACAGAATTTTCAAAAAAGCAAAGGAATGCCTAAATCAACAAACAAAAAACAACCATGGTTCATTCACATTTCAGCACAAAACCAAAATAAATTAAAAAAAAAAAAAAAACAACAACAAAAAAACCCTCACTAATTAGATAGGGGGTTAAGCAAAAAACAGCTGAAAATACTTTAACCACAAAATGGTAGAGATTTAGGTAAGAAACAAAGTGAAATTTTTCCTGGAATGCATAAAAGGACCTGACTTGACGTAAAGATGGCCACACTCCTCTGCAAAGGGACATGATACTGCAAATGTGTTACAATTTCTCTAAATAATTATAAATTCAATGAAATTCCAATAAAATCCTAACTGAATCTCTTTTAAAGAATGGTACCTTAGATTTCATGCTAAAATTTATTTAGAAGAGTTTATTTAAAAAATATTGGGGGGAGAAAAAATGCAAATGAACTTGCCATAAGAGATATTGAAACAGGCTATAAAGTGATTGTAATTAAAACTGTGGGTTCCATGTAGAAATGGACAAGCAAACACACCCATCTTGCCCACACAAGCGTATATACAAAATAAAGACGAATTAAACAAAACGAACATCTATGTGTCTAAATGTGGCTTAAAAAGCATTACTTCACCCTGCATGGGCTGCATCCTCTACCTTCTGCCGTACACACCCACAACCCTGAATCTTGTGTTCCTCATTTCTTGCTTTTCTCTTTTGTTTCCCTATCCTTGAACTTCTGTGTTCAATGATGTTCCTGCCTCAGCCTCCCACATAGCTGGGTCTACAGGCATGCACCATGGCACCAATTCTATAGCATACCACATTAACATTACTTCCTGAACAATATACTGATTAGTTTTACTTGTTTCTGAACTTTATACAAGTGGAATCATGCTACGTGAGTTCTTTAGCAACTTGTTCTCTTGGTTTAACAAGAATTTTCAGCATTAATACATGTTGATGTTAGTAATTATCTTTCATATTTCTTCTCAGTAACACTTCATTGTATGAATTACAATCACATACTCATTAGAATAAATGTTCTAGGCTTTTGCCACTAACACTCCAGTAAAGCACAACAGCACAGACAATACAGAAACAAACACATGAGCAATCAGTATTCTCATTGAAACTCAATTTTCAGAGTAGAGAGTGCATTCAGTCTAAGGACCATAGTTTGCTGACCCCCCTATAGAGTATCTAGAAATTGAATTGTTGGCCCAGAAGCATGCAGTTGCTATATTATGTTATGTTTTGAGCATGAAATATCCCCCAGAGGCTTGATCTTAAAAAATTTATTTATTATTTTTTATTCTATGTGTTTGAGTGTATTGCCTGTATGTATGTAAGTGCATCTGTGTCGTGCAATGCCCATGGAAGAGGGCACTGGATCCCCTTGGAACTGGAGTTAAGGACAGCTGCTAACCACTATGTGGGTGCTGGGTACAAACCAGGATCCTCGGCAAGAGCAGATAGTGCTCTTACCCACTGAGCCATCTCTCCAGCCTGAAGATCTGGTCTTCAAATGAGCTGGTAGCATTATTTTGGGAGGTGATAGAAACTAGGAAATGAGGCCTAGGTAAAGCAGGGAGGTTGCTGGGGACAAAGCCTGAGAAGGATGTGTCCTGTCCCCTGCCTCTTCCTCTCATTTTATCTGTTTTCTGGCTTTACAATGTAAAAAGCTTTTCTTCACCACGCCTTACTTCAGAGCCAAGCAAAGGAGCCAGCTGAGCATGGATTCAACCTCTAAAACCATAAGCCCAAATAAACCTTTCTTTGTTTTGCTCAGTTACCTATCACAGTGATAAAAGGCTAACACAGAATATTGGTATATGGAAAGTGGGGTTGTTGTGATTACCTAGCCATATAGTTCAAAAGCCTTGAGAACTAGTCTGTGAGAAAGATTTGGAAGAGTCTGGAGAAGCAGGCTACCAAAAACCTAGACTGCTATAAACAGAGCTTACTGGGTAATCCTGGTGGGAGTTCAGAAGACCAGAATATTGTTAGAAATATGGACAGCTAAAAGCAAGGTTCATAAGGTTTCAGATGGTAACAAGTACTCTACTAGAAAGTGGACTAGAAGTCATGCATGCTACACTATGGCAAGAACTTTGCCTACATTTGATCCATGCCTTGAGATTTTGTGGCTATGCCCCAAACTTTTGAGTTAAAGGGTGATGGACTAATTAACATGAGGTAGGAAATTTTAAAGCAGTTGAGGATTTAGGCTGTGGCATGGTTATTTCTGGCTGCCTTTAGCCAGGTTTACAGTGCAAATCAGGAGCAAAAAGCAGAGCAGAGGGTTTGAAAAACTTGGAGTTTGGCCAGAAAAGAAGTGAAAGTAAAGTAGAGCCACAAAGGAGTAGCTGCTGAAGAAATTAGTCCCACTAAAAGGAAGCCACATCCTCTGTGCCAGAACAGGAGGGAAAGTCTTTAAAGATAGCTCAGAAACTGGCTAGGCCATACTCATTTTCCAGCTCAAAGGTGTTAAGGGTACATAAGGGGGTTGGAGAGATGGCTGAGGTTAAGAACACTGGTTGTTCTTGCAGGGGACCCAGGTTCAAGTCCCAGCACCCATACGGCAGCTAACAACCATCTGTAACTCCAGTCCCAGGGGATCAGATGCCCTCTTCTGGCCTCTGCATGCATTCCATGACATCGGTGCACTTATACATACATGAAGGCAAAGCACTCATACACATAAAATAAAAATAAATACAAATTTAAGAAAGGGTGCATAAGTATAAACTCTTGTGAAAGACTTGGCTTTGAGAAGAGAACAGAGGGGCTTTCCAGCTCATGCCTTGGGAACTATTTCCCAGTGTTCAGCCAGTCAGGCATTCAGAGGTTGCTGTAGCTATATTCCAAGCAGGCCTGGCTACTGGCCAGATTGGCAACAGACATTGGCATCTTCTATGTTAGTTTTGCATACATGGCAAAATCAAGAGTTAAGGGGTCATCAGAGGCTTCCACCCACCCAGATTTCCAAAGAGAGTATGGTAGTCCATACATGGTATGACAAAAGTAGGCCACATTGGCACCACCACCATCACCCCCAGGGGAAAAAAAAATGTGTTACACTGTGAGAGTGAAATTGAGATGTGATGGAAACTCAGGCATGCAGGCCATCTGCTGAGAAAAGCCACAGGCAAGGAGCAGAGCCTAGGGGAGAAGTCATATGGGCTGTGGCTGACAAAGAATATATGCGGGGCTGCATAAGCCCTTTGCAACTCATACCATGCCACTATGTGCACCAAATGCCAAAGTTACTGGACCCAACTAACAGCAGACTGAATTTCTCAAACTGTGAGCCAAAATTGCCTTGCTCAGGTTTTAGTCAGGTAAGTGAAAAGCTGACTAACCCTGTGCCAAATTATTCTTTAGAGAAATACCAATTTGCACTCCCAGAGCTACATACATTTGGTAATATTCATGGTTACAATTTCTTAATTTCTGAGGACTTGATGGATATAAAATAGTTTTGTAATTTCATTTCCTCTATTGCTGACATAGAACATGGTTTTTGCTTGTTTGTTTTGCAGTACTGGGGACTGAACCTAAGCTCCTGAATAAGCTATGCAAGTGCTCTATCACTGTGCTATATTTCAGTCCTTTTTACTTTTTAGGATAGGATCTCAATAGGTTGTTCAGGCTAGTCTTGAATTTATTCTGCAACCCAGGCAGGTCTTGAACTTATGATCCTCCTGCTTCAGTCTCGAGTAGCTGGCTGTAAATAATCTTAAAATGATTTCTGGGTATGGTATATTTGAGCTAGAAGCCAATTTCCTATTCTTTCTTATTTTATTTCGTTTTATTTCAAGTAGTCATTCATTAGGCTGGAGCGATGGCTCAGTGGTTAAAGAGCACTCTTCTACCAGAGGACCTGAGTTGGGGTCTTAGCACCCATATCAGGCAGCCCACAATTGCCTGGAACTCCAAATGCAAAGGATCTGATGCCCTCTTCCAGCCTCTCCAGGCACTACATTTATGTTCACAAACCCATTCAGAGACACACAGATACACATAATTTAAAAAATAACTAATAAAATAAATACTTAAAAATAATAAAATAATAAAATAAATCCTTTAATTTATTAAAAAACAATAATAAATTAAAACAACAAAAAAGTAGCCATTCATTTCTAGAAACAATTACAAAATAGTTGCTCTTTACACATTGATCTTTTTATATGCTAGTCTTCCTTTCATTTATGGGTTTGCTCTCTATTGTGGTTTTATCACTCTCTGTTCATCTTTATCTTAATTTTAAAATTTTGTAATCTGCAGATTTAGTCAATCATAGAAAATATATGCACCTACTTAGGTCTAGGATGGTTGCATCTGTACTGAACATACAGACGATTTTTTTGTCATTATTCCTTAAACAACAGTCTAACAACTACTCATACAATTATCTAAGGTACTGTAAGTAATCTAAATATGGTTTAAAGTTGGGGACATGCATAGATTATATGCAGTATTATGCTATTTTGTATAATGCACTTGAGAATCTTCAGATCTGGTATCTGTGGAGGTCCTAGAACCAATCTCCTGCAGATACTGGGGGCTACTGTAATGAGGAATGACAGCGGATTTCATTTCACTCTGTCCATATTATTTTTACAAGGCTAAAACCAAAATAATAATAATAATCATAGCTGACAGCTATTAAGTGCCTATAATATTCCAGCCATTCTAAGTTCTTTACATGTATTATTCATCCATTAGATTTTCACAAAAAAACCCTGAAATAATAGCACTACAGCCATTTTATAAATGAAAAAAAAAAAAACCTGAAGAAAAGAAAGGTCAAGTAACTTTTCTATAGATGGCTGGAGGCAGAGATGGATTTGAAACAAGTTATCAGCCTTCATAGTACAAACTCTTTTTGTTGCATATTATAATTTTTAAAAATAAACGGTATGCTCAGTACACTAAAAGCATAATTAACAGTCATTCATAATTCAATATGACTCAAATCCTTTGATAAATTACCTGATGATTAATGGATGTCAAATGCTCAATAGTTTTTTCTAATTCAGATTTTCCAAAAATATTCATTTCCTGGACATTCTGAAAAAGAATTTTATAGAAAATGTTCATTTGTATCAGATAATCATCAAAGTAAGTAGTATAAGTCTACAGCACTATATTTGTTGTTTTATAAAAATCTAGAATGTTTTATATAGAAAATCAGACATTTTTACAAACGCATGCTTTGGGTTAAAGTACAACAGATTTTCATCTTTTCCATTCCCTGCCTTCATGTGTAATGTAGAGGAGAAAAGGTATGAACTCATTTATAATGACTGAGATTAATCTGTTTTTAGCACAGGTATTATGCAAAGGGAAAACAACCTTACATTAAGTGACAAGTTCAGAAATGTGCATGAGGAGATGAGCAAGAGGAGATGTAAGGAAGACTCCTCACTTATTTTTGACAGTGCTGGGGATTGAACCTAGAACCTCATGCACACTAGGTAAGTGTTCTACTGCCAAACTGCATCCCAGATGTAAGGAAAACAGGGTACAAGGAAGAAAATACACAATCAGAAAGACTAGGCAACAGAACACCAAAGACCATGACTACAAAACAGAGACTAGTTTCAAGAATGGCCCTTATAGCAAACAACAGCAACACAAACAAAGGCTAGTTTTCTGTGTATACTACCTTCTCCAAGTCTCAACTGCTGCCAAGTAAAGGGAAGACTAGAAAACACTAACAGAGTTTTTCTAGTATAGATTCGAACTTATACTATTTATTTTTAAAAAATAGATCTGATATTTGGATCATACATTTGGTTAAAAGGCCACTGTTGCTTTTACTCATTTATTAAGTCATTCAAACAGTGCTAATATATGCTGTATACCAAGCACCAAGCAAGGTGTTAGGAACACAGCCTTGAGTAGAGCCTCTGACTTATACATAGCCTATTACAGAAAAGAGACCTAAAATGAGACGAAAATCCATGAAGGCAGGAGACTAGCAATTTAAGGTGATCCTTGGCTTCAGAGCAAGTTTAAGCCTGGGACACATGAGACCCTGTCTCAAATATAAACAAACATAGTGCTGGAAGGAGCTATGCAGGTTGCTGGGGGAGAAATGACATTAATAGTCTTAGCCACAGAATCCTGTATGCTACAATACTGAGAGGCAAGATATGCCCACTGGTGCAATAGTGGCAAGACTGTTATGGGATAACTAATCACTTTCTCACTGGATTTGAGGCCTGCTCCACAGGAGGGAATTTCATGCCTGGTATTGGAATCCTGGTCAATCCATGGCTGGGAGGGCATATAGGCCCTAGGTTAGAACCTGCTATTGTTCTAATGTTTTAAATGATCATGTTGTCAAATGTCTTCTAAATATTTATATTTGTACACATAGACCTGGGCTGCTCCCTCAATCACGGTCAGAAAAGATTCTTTTTTCAGTGAGCAACAGTCAACAGACACCTAACTGATCAACATGCCGAGAATAAGACTGAATGCTTAGCCCTAAATGGGACATCTATAGCAACACTCCCTTCCCCACCAAGGCTCAGGGAACATGGAAGAAGAGGAGGGGAAAAGAATATAAGAGCCAGAGGATGGGGAGGAGTGAGTGAAATGGTCTTTTGGCCATGGCATGGCTATCACACGCATGAACTCATAGCATCTCAGGTTGTCCGCACAAGATCAAGCCAGCCAAAATTCTAGCATAGATGGAATAGATGATCTCCAGGCCCCACCCTTTACTGAGGAGCTCTGTTTCAGGGAAAATCATTATTTTTGAGGGTGTGGTCACTAGTAGGATTCCCATGCCCCAGTGGATGGCCCCACACCCATGCACATATGGGCAGCACTAATTGGACTTAATGGGTTATTAAAAAACAAAACCAAAAAAAGACATAAAATTGGGAGGGAGGTTTTGGAGGGGAGTTGGAAAGGGGAGATAGGGAGCAGATATAATCATATTTCGTTGTATATATGTATGAAATTCTCAAGAGTAAAGTTAATAAACATAAATAAAACCCCTAAATACTATTCTAGGCAAGGAACTTTATTTTCATATATCAAAAGGTATCTAGAACCTAGTACTCATTGATTGATGTTTAACAAAGTTAAAGGATAAATAAAGTTATAGAAGGGCATTAAAAGGGGCGAATTTTTCAGTAGTCTGTGCAGAAGGCTGGAAGCAAGAAAAAGTGCCTTAAGCCAGGAACTTTGAGAAAAAATGGGGTGGAAAATAACAAAAGTGAGTATAGGGGAACGATGTTAGACCTTAAAGTAGGCAAAGGACAGTCACTAACATCCTTGTAAACAGGTAATGAACTTTAAACAGTAAATGATATAACCAGATTTATATCTTTGAAAGATGACTCTTAGAATTAATGTTAAATATATACTGAAGATGAGAAAAATTAAGCACAAGGGCCCTAATATAATAATGTCGATGAGAGAAAATAACCACAATAGGATGGGAGCAGAAGACAAGTAAACAGATTGAAAAGAAAGTGACATGAGCGTAGGAGGCAGACTCTTTGTAAATCATAGATGGGTGAGGTTGGGCAAGTTATTTAAATTCACTATAATTCAGAACTCTTGTCTGTAAGCAGTAACTATCAGAAAAGGCTTTTATGGAGATTTACTGCGATAGCTCATGTAAAAATGCACTTGGAACAGAACATTCCACATGGGAAAGGCTTAATATTATTCAAGGGGTAGCAGTGATAGCGTTGGCTAATAGTTGACAGATGAGTTTTCAAGCGAGTTTAGTAATAATGCCTGGTTGAAAACTGTGTGGACAGGAGGGTAACAGGAAATAAAGGCTGAAGGGTTCAGATGATTAGTTTTAAAAAAGGTCTGTTGTCAACTCACTAAAGCCTCCTCCTACAACCCAGAAGGATTCTGGTAATTTGAATGTAGGCTTTCCAAGTTTTTAGTACAAATACGTTTTTTTAAATTCTATTTTTATGTTTCTGGTCATTATAACAGATATGAAAATGGGTAAATGAGTAGCTCATGTTAAAAGCTACCATACTGCACAGAAGTTTTCTGTTTGGGAACTGTAACGGATTTAAAAAAAAAATTCTAGAAGGCAGTATTCCAAAATCATTCTTAAATTTTTAAATCATTTTTGTTTTATGTGTATGAGTGTATTGCCTGCATGTAAGTGCACCCCATGCAAGGCCTGTGGAGGGCACAAGAGGTGTCAGATCCCCTGGTACTAGAGTTACAGACGGTTGTTAGCTGCCATGTGGGTGTTGGAATTCAAACCAGGGTTTTCTGAGCCATTTCTCCACCCCCCCACCCCCCACCCCCCACTTTTTTTTTCTTTTTTTTTT